TTCTGTCTCTCTGTCTCTCTCTGTCTGTCTGGCGAGCGCACGCGCCCTACAGTGAAAATCTCTCCAAAAAAATGTCTAGCCTGTTCATGACAGAATGACCAAATACGGCATGATTTCTTGGGAAAATAAAGAGCTGTTCGAGAAAGCCATGAGTAAGAAGCGATGTGATGTCAGTGTATCAGGAGTCATACAGGTGGTCCAGCCGGCAGTGTGGTGGTGAAGGCCGCTGGATCCCACATGGCTGACTACACAGTTCGAGTCCTGGACCCTGCGGCTTGAAAAAAAAAACACCAGGCACATGCAAATGTGTGCTCAAAATCCCAAAAGGGGAGATGGGTGGAGGAGAATAGATGACAGCGTGACTATTACCTTCCTCACTTTGTCTGTCTGTCTCTGTCTCTCTCTGTCTCTCTGGCCAGCCACTTGTGCCCTCTGGCAACACTTACATTTTTTTTTTTTTTAAGTCACACAGGTGAGGCCCAGCCCCATAGCCTGATGGTCAAGGGAACTAGATCCTACATAGTCAACTGCAGTTCGCTCCCATCTGTATTTACTTATTTATTTTACAACTAGCTATGTTTTACTTGTTGCCTGAGTCACAAGTCACTTGCCTTTACCCCATACCCCCTCTTCCCCCTCCGACCTCCGCTCATCAGGGAGGGCAGGACACGAACCCGTCAACTTCCCATAAGAGTTCAACACCGCGTCACCTCTCAGCTACGGGGGAACTCAGTCAACTGCAGTTTGGATCCTGACCCCGATGACATGCAAAAGACACCGGGAGGGGGGCCAGCAGGCGGCGTGGAGGTTAAGGCTCTGGATTCTCACATGGCCAACCCCGATTTGAGTCCTTGAAAATCACGCCTGGTGTGTGTGTGCATGTGCCCAAAATCCCGAGAGAAGAATGGAGGAGAAGGGATTAGGACATGGCCATCCCCGCCTGGCGAGTCATTTCTCGCTTTCCCTCTTTGTCTCTCCAGTGAATACATGCACCCTATGACAAAAACCTAAAAACAAACAAACAAAACAAAAACCCACCAGGAGCATGTGCATGCATGCCCCAAACCCCTGCAGCACCGGCACATCCCACTGGGGGGTGCTTTCTCCCTCTCTGTCCCTGGGAGCTCGCACACTCTCTGGCGGCGACAACAGAGAGTCAAACAGGTGAATTCATCTCTGAACAGTCTCAGGCAAATCCCTTTATCCCTCTGAATCGGAGTGTGAGAGTTACATAATGGGGACGGTAATACCCCAGGCTTGTGGGAATTAGCAGTCAGTGGGACAGCGCAGTCCCAGGCTTGTGAATGCTTAATAAAGTGTAACAACACGAGATGGGAGTGGCTCTGTGTGAATCCAGCCTTGTGCCACCGAGGACGAGGACGTGTCCCAGCCAGTCTCTCGGTTTCTAAGCAGTAGGAGCAAACTTCAGCTCAGTTTGGTCAATCGGCCTGCTAATGCCCTTTTCCTGGACCAGGAGCCAATCCAGCAGCGCACACTGTATTTAGTCATTATATGCCCCCAGTATCCTTTAATCTGGGACAGTTCACTTTTCAAGGGTATTGGCCAGTCATTTTAGATCTAGAATGCCCCTTGGGTTTGTTTCGTGTTTGCTCATGATTCAATTCAGGCTATACTTTTTTTTTTTTTTGGAGAGGTTTTTGCTATAGGGCGCGTGCGCTCGCCAGAAAGACAGAGAGAGACAGAGAGACAGAAAGCGAGAAATCACCCCCCAGGGGGGGTGGTCACGCTGCAATCCCTTCTCCTCCATTCTCCTCTCGGGATCTTGGGCACACACGCACACGCACCCGGTGTGAGTTTTAAGCCACCGGGTCCGGGACCCGAACCGCGGTCGACTACGTGGGA